GTATGAACATCGAAGATCTCCTCGAGCTTAATGCTGAAGCGCCGATCTTCGTCCAACTCAATGAACCTGTCGCACATATACTTCGGTCTTCGTGGCACCAGTCGCACTCCCCCGGGCGGTTTTCGTCGTCCGAGTACGACATTTCCGGCCTATATATGTTCATAATTCAAATATTAAACTAGATCATTATTATTAATCACGGGTTGACTATGGTTGTACGTAGCTCCTCCTTTCATTCCCGAGTGCATTATTACATCAAATTGTCTAGCACACGGGAATGAGGGAGAACTTTTCCAATATGAGCATTCAATAAGCAAAACCAAATCATAAAATTAGCAAAACCAAATCATAAAATAAAGTAGTATTCAAATTAGCATGCATTCAATTATAAGCAAAAGTACATAATCTCTTGGTGTCCGTACATCGTCGAATATTATCACTAATATAGCATCACTAATACAACTAGAACCGTAGCGCCCGACGGGTATCGTCGCGGGCGGTGGACACCCAAATATAAGGAACCATCACAGGATCATAGCTCCAGTGAGATCCCTGAAGAATCTGCTAGGTATTGTCGAACCTGCCCTCCAATGCAACCATGTAGCGACAGACGTGCCCGTCCTCCTCGCTAACACGGTGACGTACCACCTCCGCGTTGTCCGGAAGCCTCGACACTGTCACTGGCCCACGCGACCGCCACCAAACAAGGATCGGGTCAACAACGGGCTGCCTCCTCACCAACCTATGTCCCCCGAAAGGTAGCACCTCCCAATACCAGCCCGACGGAGCCCAGTCCCGAACATGACCCTGATCAAGCAGGCCTCCACCGCCGAGTCGACGACGACGATGATGCGGGATAAGCATCGCCGACGTCGTCGATGCGGGAACTACTTCTATATATAGTTAAATAAAGTAGTTTTATTAATTAAATCAACTAGTTCAACTACTAAGCACTTACTATAAATGAAATAAAGTAGTACTTACTAAAAATAAACTACTTCCATATAGAGTAAAATAAAGTAGTTTTATTAATTAAATCAACTAGTTCAACTACTAAGCACTTACTATAAATAAAATAAAGTAGTACTTACTAAAAATAAACTACTTCTATATATAGTAAAATAAAGTAGTTTTATTAAATCAACTAGTTCAACAGTAAGCACTTACTATAAATAAAATAAAGCAGTACTTACTAAAATAAACTACTTCTATAGTAAAATAAAATAGTTTATTAAATCAACTAGTTCAACTACTAAGAACTTACTAAAAGTAAACTTGTTTAACTAGTTCTATTATATTTAACTAGTTCAACACATTATTTTCCTAAATATGCACATATATATACATAAATTGACAAAAAAACATCTAATTCAACTAATCTAAAATACATGGAAAAACATCTAATTCAACTAATCTAAATAATTTTATTAAACACTTACTAGTATATATACATGGATAAAATACATATACGAAAAAAATGAAAAAAAGAGGATCCGGGGCGGTGGCGGCTCACAGTGGGGCCGGCGAGGGCGACGACGGTGGCGGCGACGACGGCGATGGTGGGGGCGGCATACGCCGTCGGCGTGCAGAGGACGTCGTCGGCGTCGGTGGAGGCGTTGGCGGCGGACGCCGACGGCGTGGGCGGTGGACGGCGTCGGCGTGGGCTCCGGGGCGGGGCGACGGCGACGGCATGGGCGGCGAACGGCGACGGCGTGGGCGGCGGACGGCGTCGG